TCATTATTTATCCTCATCTATTTCACGAGTTTTTTTTAGCATATTTTCATACTTTTTCTTTATTAAACTAATTTGTAATTTTTGGTCCATGTTCTCGCCATGTAACTTTTTAAAATGAATAAAACTAATGTTACTTGGATTGTTTTTTTTCCATTTTATAAATTTCCTTTTACTATGGTGATATGAAATGAACCAACTTTATATTTCTATCCCCGGTCTAACTGATTGACTTAAACATATTGTATTTTCTTACTAGGGTGCTAATACTGCTAACGGTATTAGTGTTTGTTACGACTGTAGGATAAACTGCTCCTAATTACTTGTTCGAATGAAAAAGAATGATATGGATCGATTAAAAAGAAGAATGCAATACTGTAGATAAAGATTGTATTATGTTTCGACCACTGACTCCAACTCGTCAACTGGATATCAGAATGTTCAGTGACGTATATATCCTCAGTTAACACATCAAACATTGATTACCTCAGTAAACGTGTATTATCAGTGCAAACCAGTTAAACAAATGAACAATAAGTGTGCTTAATTCATTTATTTAAGCTATAAGTTACACTTCCTAAGTTAACATTTAACCCAAATGACTTCGGTACTTCATGTCAGGCATCTGCCACACACAATGGATAAATGGTTGCGCAAGATCATGGATCCACTGAAGTTAGACATTCACACTGTTGGGTGCCGACCCAGGGGTTTGGAGGTTAAGTGTTAGCTCTGGGTTAGAGTCCCTCGTGTGGTGTCGTGGGTGCGTACTGCTGAGGAGATCTATGCAAGGCAGAAATAGCCGTCTGGTTCTTCCTGGTTTTCATCTTTAGATTTGTAAAAGGAAATTAAATGATTTTCTTGACGTAATATACGGACTCATCTACATAAATCCTATATGACATTTGAGATTGGTGAAAATTTTTTAGTAAATCAACAGTCATGAACTCAATGACATCTATCTGGTTGTACATTTCGGTACCTCTTTCATATCACTAACCATGGAATTACTTCTTTGTTAAGTGATATTGACGTGTTCGAAGCCCCTAAGAACGCATCAGAAACAGTAAAACTGTCAAAAACACTACATCTGAGCAAAGTTCAATGAAAATTCAGCAAACAATAAAAAAAACGATGGTTTATGTGTCATAACTCGATTGGTTAATTACGGATTTTACTATTAATCTAAGCATAGTTGCAAAAGCATCCAGGATATTCACATCACAAATAAAACGATAAATATCCAGATTTTCTGTATCTTGAGCAAAGGTGTGTAATGAAAGACAGATGGAAATGTTAGTAGTAATAGGCACTAATAAATAACTTTTCAGACTTACAAAAGAAATAGGTATTCAAAATTTAGGAGTTGGTGATGTTATTTCAGTGAAGGATGGGCTGGTAATTTACTCTCAATCCGACACACTAAAATGATGGGCGCAGTACTTTGAAAAACAGTTTAACTGGTCCCTAGTTAAGTACTGTTATCAAACAACCTGTGTTGGATTCTTATTTAAGCTGTTCAACTCTGAAGTTTCGAGAGCCATGGTTAATCTAAAGAACGGTAAGGCAGCAAACCCTGATGTCTTAACCCGAGGTGTTTAAGAATGATAGTCTAATTTTAGTAGTTGTCTTGATTGAGATGTTAGACGGAATCTGGAAGCTAGACTTTATCCAATTTCAATGGTCCCAGTTGTTGTCTGTTCCTGTTTATGAGGAGAGACAAAAATCCTCTTGTAACAACCGAAGAGGAATCGGCTTGACTAACATAATGTCGAAAATATTAGCTTTAATAGTGAGCAAAGTTTAACTAGGGCTATTGAAGAATGAAACAGGGAAAACCAGATACTCACACCTTGCCAGGTTCCAAAACATAGATACGCCTACTAACGGTCAATCATAGTTTTGGTTGCTTTCGACTCCGTAGATCGACAGGTTTTAAGGCGGTGTCTATCGCTGAAGGGCTTACCAAAGAACTACATCAATTCTGTATAAGCTCTCTACTGGGATATTATTGGTCGAATCAGAGCATATTGTAAACCATCATCAGAGTTTATGACATTAAATGGTGTTCGTTAGGGCTGTCCGCCTTCTCTAATCTCATTTACTATGTCATAGATATACTTTTAGAGATAACGTTCCCGTCAACTTAATTTTCTAGAACTGACCTGACATGAAATTAGCTTGTCGACACACGGATCCCTTCATATATCTCGGAAGTGTCGTCAACCTTGATGAGTTGGTATTTAACCAAATATCGGCACGGATACAGAAAAACGGGATGGAATTTCCTAAACTGCATCACATGCGACTATAAAACGTAACCTGTATATTCGTACTTTACTAGTATTTCACCATAACTGTCTTTGAAGTAATGCTTATGTATGTTTGGGCCACCGAATGAACAATACTGAGGTTGGATACAAGGTACTAGGTTAAGATGGTAAATTGATTGGTCAAGTCGTTAATATTCATCGACTTAGGCCCATGTTAATTGATGTAAGAGTGAGAAAAAAGTCAGTAGCCAGGTAAACTGAACAGTGGCATCAGTTCATCAAATCATTGACTTCTTGGACAGAGCTGTGTTGGCAAGTTCAGACCACCTGGCTGGAATCCACTTGATTGTCGTAATTAGTGGTTAGTGACTATGGTTGACATAACCTAGAATTGTCCAAAATGGGAGAAATGCCGAGCTATCAACAATAAATTTACTATTTCTTCCATGGTATCTTGTGATATTGTGATGTGGATACTTCAGTTGATGCGCATATTTCGCAGATTCGACATTGCGTATGACCGACTAATCTTAGAAATATGTACCCTATACAACCATCTATAATAACATATACTCATTCATCATTTGTTTTTCGAGAAGACGCGGTATCAAATACGACTATAAAACGTAACCTGTATATTCGTACTTTACTAGTATTCCACCATAGATGTCTTTGAAGTATTGCTTATGTATGTTTGGGCCACTGAATGAACAATGCTGAGGTTAGATACAAGGTACTAGGTTAAGATGGTAAATTGATTGATCAAGTCGTGAATGTTCATCGACTGAAGTTGTTGGGTTACGCATCGCATATACCTGAACGTAGTCCACCTCTATGGCCCATGTTAACTGGTATATATATATATACATAACAAGTGCTTCGTAAGAAAAACCTACAAAGTGTGAATCAAAATTAACTCTCCGAAGTGATTTCAATGAATAAGTTAGATGATGATTACTTTATTATCTATGAAGAAGTAATTCACAATGTCTCATGAATTAAAAATTCATTTGATATATATATATATACATCTTCAAATACTTCAAATGATAAAAATCACACTCTTATATGTAATATTCATCTCCTGAATAAATAGAAAGTGATCAATCTTACTCAACATAACACTTTACTAAATTATTGAAAATATTCAATATAACCTCATTATTGTTTTTTACTCATTCAAACCTATACAACCATTTCCTTTATTATATATAATTTTAATTAATTTTTATTTATAAAGTTAATTAATTAATTAAAGTGCTTAGTTTCTAGAATTGAAAACAATTAAACTAATTGTAATAATCATTATTACATTTAATGATATGTATCTATATAGATTGTTAGTTATTTAATGACTATTCAGTTCACACAATTGTAAGTACTAACAATAGTACTATTACTTGTGATAATAATAATAATAATAATAATAATAATAATAATATTAAGAAAGACATTATTTGTCAAATCGACAAAGATATATATATATATGTATATATTTAAAATAGTTTTTGTTGTCAAGGCCGACGGCATGACATGAATATATTCATGAAAGAATTAAAATTAAAAAAAACAAAACAAACAAAACAATATAGTGAGTTCATGAATATCCAACATCAATACATATTATTACTAATCAAAACTAAATCAATATAAAAGTAAAAGGAAATTGTAAAGAATAGATATAACATACAATACTTTATAACCTGATTAGTTAATTCATTGATAAATCAATATTATAATGAATCAATAATCAATATTATCAATTTTTTTTTAAAATATTCATGTCACGATCAATAATGTTGTTTGTTATATTGGTTATTTATAATCATTTTGTACAATTATCACAGTTGTGCCGGTGTTGTATTATATTATTATATTGAATAAGAGAAAAATAAAAACAAAACAAACAATGAATTATATAACACAAACTATACTACTAAAACTACTGATAATAATAGTAATAATAATGATTATTACAGAATAATAAAAAGTAAATTGAGAAAAGAACACAATGAATGTTAACAACATGAATTCAAATAAAATTCATGAAGATAGCGATGAAAAGTGTTAATTTGTTTTTGGAAAACAAAAATGGTTGTAATAAAAATAGTAAAACAAATAAATGAAGAGAATTTTCTGAAATGTTTTTTAATTATATAAAACTACATATGATCAACAGTTACTATATGGATTGACGTATATTTGAACACAATTACTTATCATTTTTTACAGATCAATGTATGTATGTGTGTGTATGTATGTATATGTTTGTAAATGTATTCTTCAATCCGTCTGTTATATTCTTCAAATTCCCTAGAACTAACGGAAACATGGATCATCCATGAGATACAATAAATAGTACAACAAGTAATATGAGTACATTCATGCAGTAAAATACATACACAGATATAATTTATCATGTTACTACTAATCAACTAATCAATAAAGACTGAGAAAAAAAAGAGTGCGGAATTGATTAACTGAGTGGTTGGTTAGTAAAATTTTGGGGTGTATCATTCTTTATTACCATTACTATTATTGGAATAGACTTAGTAACTATTTATAACTATTTATAAATAATATAGAATTAAAAAAAGACTGTAACATTAAGAAAACAAAAAAGAACTTCTTGTCTATAATAAGAAATAGTTACTAGTATTTTCTTTTTTTAGTGTCTCATTTTTTGTCTTAGAAACAAGAAAGAGAAAGAAAGAAAAAGTATATTATACATTAAACTGGTGCAATTAAAGAAGGATTCATTGGAAATGTTTTACGTAAACCTAAACATTTTTCACGATCAATATATATACTATTAGCTTTAATAGATAAATCCATTTCTAAACGACTTTTATTATTTAATAAATCTTGATGTGCTGTTTGTATATCTGTTAATTGACTGACAAGTTGATCAATTGATTCTTGTAATTCTGCTATTTCACGTAATAATCTATTGGGGTGAGAAAAAAAGAGAAATAATTAAGAACAAAATAAAAAAGAGATAAAGTAAAGGAAAATATATTAAAAAGTATATTTCTATTTATGGTTCTAAATAAACTCGTGGATGCGTACTATTGAAGAGTCTCACAATAGGACGAAATAGCAGTTCAGTGCTTTCAGGTATTCAATGGTGATCAAACATCAATCGGTTCATCATCTCAATCAAAAAAATAATAATTAGTGTTGGAATAAAATGAGAATTTGGAAATTTCTGCGATTATTATGTGATATACTAGCATTTCTAGTTTGACTAATATAGTTATCAGGCAATTAAGTTCTAGTATTTTTAGGTTGCCCCATTTATAAGCTTTTATTTACTATATTTATTATTGAGATTACGTTACACTATTTCTAAATTATTTGCAATTAATTACTCGCCTATTATTTATGGGTTGTTTGTGAACAAACGATGATTTCTTATTTGTGGTGTAGTGATTAATGTAAGAAAGCCTTTTGCTTGGCTACTGTAGTATAGGTAAAGTGTCTTCTGGACCAATTGAAGTAATGATATTCCTTGACAGTCAAACTAAGTCATCGGTTAAGTTCAGGAGTCTAATAGACATGGAGCGTAAATATCATCAGTTGACTTTAAAGTCAAGCTGCCCAATCATGCGAATTTCTAAGAATAAACGGAATTATTAATTTTCTCAAAAATTAAAGTATCTAGACTGTGACTAGAAGTAAAAACTATGATAAGTTATTTGTTCTATTTGTGACTCATCAGCTTGGTGGACCTACATTTCAGTGTTGATACACATCCTGAGTTTTAAACATAACTCTTATTGTTTCAAATGACAACCCATAATTTGCTGAACTAATGAGCCTATACAACTTATAACTTGTTCAAGGGTCATTAAAATGCTATCCAGTCTCCCAACTTAACAAAAATTTTGAAGGTTTTGGTTGCATCTTCCCCAGGATTTCTAATGAAACTTCCGAAAGCTTCTTCAAGAATTAAGAAACTTTCCCCAAAGTTCGGAGATTGGGTACTAGCTGTTTGCAATTTCCTATAGTTGAAATTGAGAATTGTAAACAAACAGTCTATTTTGGTGAATTGTGAATTGTCTTAATATAGCCTTTGTAAAAAGTTTTAATGTATACATAAAACTCTCGCTATGGTTTCTATTGCTCGTTATGATCCATGTATAGTATCTATATCGCAAAAATACGCTTAACCATAAACTAACAAAGACTGTTCAGTTACAGTCATGAATTTCACCAACGAGAAATCACAAACTGCTACTAGGTATTTCGAATATTTAACATATAGTTACTATCAGTGAGGGGTTGTGAAGGTTGTTAAGCTTTTGATTGAGATCATGAATCGATAAATGTTATACCATCATTGAAGACCTGGAAGCACTGGACGGCTTTTTATCCTAGTATGGGACCCCTCAACAGTGGATGCCGACCCAGTGGTCTAGATGTTAAGCGTTCGCGCGCGCGACCGAAAGTCCTGGGTTCGGACCCCGCGTGCGGAATTGTGGGTGTGCACTACTAAGGAGTCCCATATAGTTACTCATCATTTTGTAAACGAATGTACATTACAATCATTAGTGACTATATAGTGCAATAATATAGCTTAGTTTGATATTTCTAACTCATTTCTATACCATAATATTCAATATTTAGCACCTCTTGTTTAATTCTAGATAGGCAACACTTACTAGATCGTGCTAATACACTTGTATGAAAGAAGACATTTAAAATTCATATCCTATGGACAACATAATATTATTCTGTCCTCAAATGAGATTTTTGATAACTGATGTTTTGTAAATTTATTTAGTTTAGTATAAACAGTTTTATGGAATGAATTTTATGTTTACAGAACTAAGTATCAATGAAATTCTTTAATACATACATGAACGAGGATACAAGTAATTAGTAATGTACATGATATACACAAACATCTGGAACTCAAAACAACTGTCGACCAACACCAAGGTCAGAATTTTCAATACAAATGTCAAGACAGTCCTACTATATGAGGCGGAAACCTAGAGGACTACGAAAGCTATCATCCAGAAGATACGAGTGTTTATTAACAGTTGTCTACGCAAAATGCTTCGGATTCTTTGGCCAGACACTATTAGCAACAACTCACTGTTGGAGAGAACAAACTAGATCCCAGCGGAGGACGAAATCAGGAAGAAGCGCTGGAAGTGGATAGGACACACATTGAGGAAAGCATCCAACTGAGTCACAAGGCGAGCCCTCACATGGGATCCTCAAGGCCAAAGGAAAAGAGGAAGACCAGAGAACACATTACGTTGAGAAATGGAAACAGACATGAGAAAAATGAACAAAAATTGGATAGAACTGGAAAGGAAGGCCGAGGATAGAATGGGTTGGAGAATGCTTTTCGGCGGCCTATGCTCCATTGGAAGTAAGAGGAGTAAGTAAGTAAGTAAGTGATATACACATCCATTGAATACAATTATTTTACTATTCTTAAGTTAATTAGTAAACAAAAAAAATATTGAAATGAATAAATAAAATTAGTCAAGTGAACAATAAACATATTGGTATGAATTGATTGGAATGTTTATTAATGAGATGTATACCTATATAATAATTGTATTTATACTATGATGATTGAATTACCTGCATATTCTTCAATGTGTGAAATCTTTCTATTTATAATTTTGAGTTCAAGCTTAGTTGATTTCTCATCCTTACTTAGTACTCTATTTCTAATCTAGGCGTTACTTACTCGGTGGATTCAAAATACATGAAAGATATTTCAAAGACACCTACGATCGAATATTTGTAGTCTATCCTAATGCTCGTGTTTCTCATCCGTAAATTTCAGTGGCGAGAACTGATGCACTGTAAACTCTTGCTTTGGTTGACACACGGATCATATACGACATTTAGTCATATTTTGTATTATTGTCATTGATAAGTTTAAATAACTATTTAACTGGAAACTTTTTTGACAAACATTTGATGCTGTGTTTTCGAATTAATATATCGGGATATTTCTTATTCTTAGTGGAGTAGAAGAGTCAATTAGTCACCTAAACGTAAGAACAGGCACATATATGCATCGGTCCAAGTAGCTAGTAGTGTAATGAATTATTTATAAATTGACGTTCAGATAAGAAACTTGATCGTTAATAATAAATTTTATGATATCAGTGAACGTCCAGTCGATGTTCATCACTGTTTTTCTAACGAAAATTATATACACTGAGTTTAATGAGCGTTGTATGGAATTCCTATCTTCAAATTAAAAGAATCAGTGTTTTTGGTGAACAGGAAATGTACATTTTTGGTTCAATTTTCAGTTTTACAGATAGTTGGATTAAGTAGAAATAAAATACATAATAATAGTTACACGTTAGTCATGTGTGACTGATGAATGGAAGGACAAGGTTGTGTTGACATACATCACAGTTTCTATGTGACTTACAACTGTCTTACTCAGAAGTACTCACACCACTCAAAATGGAAATATGAACCATTGTACGCTGATTTACTTGTTCAGGATTATTGTACTTTTAAGTATGATAATTGGCGTGGTGTCGAGTGAGCACTGCGTATTAGTCTCAGGGTCGCACTACGATGACATACAGTGTTCTCTGGTTTTCAGGTGTTCTTCATCTTATATCAACCTCATGCCGAGCAAAATCCCCAAAAAATTGTTTCATTTAAAAAGAGAATTGGAGAATATTAAAAGTAACCAAAGAAGAATAAGTTTGATAAAGGAGAGAACTACAGGTTGTTTAATTGGCTAGTTTAAATAGAATGCACAAAGTAGACCACCGGAACTTATAACCAAATAATCACTGAACTGTGACCAAACACAGATTTAATTCCCATAAAAAACATCGATTCTGTCGAGATAGTATGTATGCCTTACTGATGAGTGACAAGTGGCTCGAAACCTAGGTTTAGTGTTTCATGTTGACTGCCATCAACCATTTAATATCATTTTAATTATTTAACCTTTTTATTGCCTAAACTTCTTTACACTGTAAATAGAAAGCTAACTCTATATCAGTACGTAAAACAACTGAAATCACTTTTGATATGATAATATTAATCGTGATCTATTGATTATTTTACTCAGTAATATTATAGACATTGTGAATATGAATAAACCTCATTATTAATCTTGACTAGAATAACTTCCACATTAAAGATCCGAAATGAGACGAAATATATATTTAATAAGTTTCTATAGTTGAGATCATGAGTCAATTGAAGCTAAACCACCATGGAAAACCTGGAAGCACTGGACGGTTATTTCGTCCTATTGTGGGACTCCTCAGGAGTGCAGATCCACGACCCCGCCTCACGGAATTCGAACACACGACCTATCTAGCTTCAATTGACTTATGATCTCAACTATAGAAATTACTACAATCTTCACAAAACCCCTTCTGATAATATTCAATAAGCTAAAAACAATAACATACTCATAAAGTTGAGTGATCGTTATTTATGGTAATTTTACTTGTGAGATGTAATTGTAAAAAATTCTAGTATCAAGTTAACAACATCATAAGAATAAAAATAAAGGATTACCAACAACACTAAGTAATATTTCCTATGTAAGTCGAAAAGAATGATACCGTTGGAAAAGGTGAAGAAATACGAATTATCGGTATTGTGATTGCTACACACACTCAAGCATATTTGTGAAATTATAAGTATGCTCAATTAATGAAATTTCACAAATGAAACAAACAACCTGTTCATTGTTATGTGCATTTCAATAGATTTTCAACTCTATATTAATTAATTGATGATTAAAGATAACTTTAAATCCAATGACTTTTTACAAAGTACTTAATTGAATTGATTTGCTATTTTTAAGTGAAACACTCCAACACAGTATCCAAGTCTAATCATGCATTGTTTATCAACTGAAATCATTAATCATAATAAAGTTATGATCACTAAGCTGAACTGTCTAGTTATAAGTTGTTTATTGTTATT